CTGTGCCCCCTCAGGGGCCACACCCACAACTTCCACAGCTCCGGGCGGGGGTTGATGACCGTACCCTCCGCCTGTGAGAGGAGATCTCTCCTGATGGGAATAACCCATGGAGTGCCGTCGAGGAGAGAAATCAGGCCCGACACTCGGCCCGGCCAGAACGGGGCTACTAGCAGAAGACGGACCCCGTCCCGGCGCACTCACTCCAGAACTCCCGGGAGCAGAGCGATCGGGGGAAAAACTGAGCCTGGCCAAAAACTCTCCATATCTGCTTCACCACCTCTGGGTGAAGCATCCATTCCCCGGGCCTCGACCCCTGCCTCGACAGGATGTCTGCTCCCAAATTGAGATGCACAGGAATGTGAACTGCTCTCAGCGAGAGAAGTTTGCCCTGGGACCACACAAGGATCTGGTACGCTAGTTTGTACAAACGGCGTGAGCGCAGACCTTGAGTTCCTGAAGAGGAACTAATAATCATATTGACTGTATTAATTAGAGAACAATAAGAAATAATTGTACAAAAATAGTAAAAAGCTCTAAATGTGATTATTATTTAAATATGATAAATTAGAATATTAATGATCCGTCTAATTTTTGGAAACTGACCAAATCAGCTTCTGGTCAAAAAACCTCTACCAATCTACCTGATTATTTAAAATTAAATGAGAGTATAATTAAAGATAGAGAGAATATAGTAAATGCTTTTAATAGCCACTTTATTTCTGCAGGAGTAACCCATGACTATAGTAATTTAAGGGAACAAGAAAATGTGGAATTTACTTTATGTTGTACTACTCAGCTGTTTAGTTTTACTCCCATTTTAGCTACACAAGTTCATAAAGTTCTATCAAATTTGGATAATAAAAAATTAACAGGGTCTGATAAAATAGAACCTTATGTTTTTTTTTATTTCTGCAGATTTTATAACAGAGCCCATTACTTCTATTTTAAACTTGAGTTTAACTTAATGTTATTCCTGGTGCATGGAAATCAGCACAGGTTCTCCCTTTGTTAAAAGGTGGTGACTCATCAGTTTTGGATAACTATCGGTCAATTAGTAGGTTGTTGGCAAAAGTATTTGAATCTTTTGTTAATGAACAAGTGAAACAGTTCTTAACTGAAAATAAAGTTTTAAATGAATTTCAATCAGGCTTTAGATCGGGTCATTTACACAGTAGCACATTCGGTGTATCAAGCCATAGAGCTCTTGCAAGAATTTTTTCAGTTACTGCAACTGTCATTGTCTAACTTAAAATTGGTTTTAAACTCAAAGAAAACGAAATGCATGCTTTTCACTCGTTGTCGCACTGAAACAGACTACCCTATTTCAACTTTACAAGGAGAATCTATTGAAAGAGTAAGTTGTTATAAATACTTGGGCATACGGTTGGATGACAAATTGGGATTTTATGTACATATTGAAAAACTTTTAAAAAAGCTTAGACTAAAATTGGGTTTTCTTTTTCGCTTAAAGAAATGTTTTCCTTTTGAAGTGAGAAAGAGAATTATACAAAGTTGTTTCCTCTCAGTGTTAGATTATGGTGATGTGATTTATATGCATGTAAGTTAGGTTGTTGGCAAAAGTATTTGAATCTTTTGTTAATGAACAAGTGAAACAGTTCTTAACTGAAAATAAAGTTTTAAATGAATTTCAATCAGGCTTTAGATCGGGTCATTTACACAGTAGCACATTCGGTGTATCAAGCCATAGAGCTCTTGCAAGAATTTTTTCAGTTACTGCAACTGTCATTGTCTAACTTAAAATTGGTTTTAAACTCAAAGAAAACGAAATGCATGCTTTTCACTCGTTGTCGCACTGAAACAGACTACCCTATTTCAACTTTACAAGGAGAATCTATTGAAAGAGTAAGTTGTTATAAATACTTGGGCATACGGTTGGATGACAAATTGGGATTTTATGTACATATTGAAAAACTTTTAAAAAAGCTTAGACTAAAATTGGGTTTTCTTTTTCGCTTAAAGAAATGTTTTCCTTTTGAAGTGAGAAAGAGAATTATACAAAGTTGTTTCCTCTCAGTGTTAGATTATGGTGATGTGATTTATATGCATGCAAGTTTATCTTCACTTAAAAAGTTGGACTATGTATACCATGCTGCTTTACGTTTTGTGACGAGGGCTTCTTCATGCACTCATCATTGTATATTGTATGAATTGGTGGGATGGTCCTCTTTGTTTCAAAGAAGGAAAGTGCAAATACTGTATATTGGTCTAAATGAGTCTACTCCACCAAACTACTATTATAAGCATGAGCCCCGTCAGACTGGTCGTGGTGGCGGTTGTTTAAGGCACTGTTAGGTAAATTACCAATTTATATCTGCAGTCTTTTATCCTTTAATACATGTAATTACAGCACTAGATCTTCTGCTAAATTACTTTTAAATGTTCAAAGAGTATATTCAGAGCTTGGCAAAACTGCCTTCTCTTTTTTGCTCCCTCGTTATGGAACGAGTTGCAGAGTGTTATTATGCTGGAAACACTCCCCTCTTTAAATTGTTAAAAAAAACCTTTGTACTTGCTATGAGTAAATGCTTGTTGGGGTTTTTTTGTCACAGATTTGTAATCATCTGAATATAGGGCAAACCTTTGTTTGTTTATGTGTTTGTAATTGTTTTATTGTGAAACTTTTTGTGCTGCCATTTTGGCCAGGACTCCCTGGAAGAACAGATTTGCATCTCAATGGGACTATCCTGGTAAAATAAAGGATAAATAAAATAAAAAAATTCTGAAATGTTTAATGCTATTTAAATGATAGTTTTAGTATTTGCAATATTAGTAAACGTTTAACATTTCTCCTAAAATAAAACTGAAGACATCTTAAGACAAAGCTGATATCTCAATGAGACATATAAGAGAATCACCCCTTAGTATCCTGAGCGAAGAGTAATCTCTGTCAGAGCAATAGCCTTGTGTGCAGCACATTGACATGAAGCACAACTGCAACTCAGGCAGCATGGGTTCAAATCCCAGCTAACAGTACTTTCCTGCTCCTGTTCAATTCTCACTTGTCCAATCGTTTCCTGTTTTTACTCCTCCTATTGTCCTGACCATTAAAGGTGAAAAACCCCATTGCAATAAAAAAGCAACAGCAACCTCTGAGCAGTAAAACATTTTTGTAATGGACTCTTGCAAGAGATAACAGCAAGACAATAAAGATATCTCCCATGTTTCTCTCCCATTGTCATTTTGGATTCCTTTCGTTCAGAACTTTCTCATGTCTCAATTGTGTCTAGACTCATGTCTCAGTTTTATTTCTCCTAAGGATTTTTTAGGAGAAACATCTGAGACACTGTTGAGACTAAAATGAGAAATACATGAGAATCACCACTACGTCTCCTGAGGTTAGAAAGAGCAACCACTGAGTAATAAAATATTCCTATAATGGAGTCTTGATTGAGATTGCAGCAAGACAATAAAGATATATTCTCTGTTTCTTCCACCACATTCTCAGTTTTGACTCTTTTTTTCTCAAATATTTCTCATGTCTCATTTGTTTCTACTTCTATTTCTCCTAAGGAATTTTTGGGAGAAACATCTGAAATGCTGTTGGTACTAAAATGAGAGATATATGAGAGATATAATCTCATCTAAGTCTCCTGAGTTTAAGAAAAGCAACCACTGACCAATAAATTTTTCCTATGGGCTATCATGCAGCTGTCCATTTTGGCATGTGCCTAGTCTGGCTAATTTTTTCCAAGTGATGGATAAATTTGCGCAAAAATGTTGTAGTTTGAATAGACTGACAACCTGTGATGTCTACAACTAAAGATTTGGGAATATTTTTTTCTTCCTTTAAAAAGTTCAAAGCCTATTTAATTTTATCGTAACTTGTGTTTAACTGCTGTCAGGTAACCACGAGAAGGCTCATCTCTGGTTGGGTGATTTCTCTCTCTCTCTCTCTCTCTCTCTCTCTCTCTCTCTCTCTCTCAGCTGCAGTTGGAATTAAAAAGCATTAAGCCCCCAAATGAGCAAGACTATTGGGTATTCAGCAAATCAAATAATCAGAAATTCACTTCTGCTGAGGTTTACCCACGATGCACTAGACTGCAGAGGGAGAGAGATGTAGTCCGGGGAGACCTCTGTTTTCTCCATATCATCTCGTTCTCAAGTCAGTGTGTCTCGAGTGTGAAATTACTACTTAACAGATTCCACTGAATCTTAATAAAACAGTAACATTAACAACAAAAATTTACATTTGTATATCAAGAGGCTTGTTTTAGGTTATTCTGCTCATAAAGTATTATTCTAGTAATAACAATAACGTGTAAAATATTCACACACACACACACACACACACACACACACATATATTAATTATATGTAATATCAATTTTCTCTAGAAAATCGTGATGATGGCTTAGTGATTGAACTTTTAATCCAATTTTGAATGACTGCTGAAATTCTGCAGGGATTCACAGATGATGCTGTATGAATTATACAAGCCCAAAACTTTCTATTGTCACCATCATTTGTGACTGTGGTGAGACCGAACAGGCGTCTTTGTATGGGTGTTGAATGTAATGAAGTAATGCACAATTAGTTTCTCTAAGCGTGAGGTGGGGACAAAGGTAGAGGCCTACCTGACAGCACAGTGAAGACTGCGGCGAAGGCGTTCAGTTTGAGTCCATCGATCACGTTACTGGAGTGAAAAAGTTCCAGACACATCAGACTGAAGCCAACGACCAGCAGCATGATGTATAGCACCTCAGACACAACTGACAGCCAAAGGACACCTGCAATACACACACACACTGGTGAGCAAAGTGCTCTGCTGTTGCCCCATAATTCTCTCTGTCGTTTTTATTCACACTGTCAGATTCGAGCGGGAATTTAACAACTCGCCCACTGCATATAAAATGGACATGCATTGGACACATTTTTTCATAGTCGTTCTTCTTTATGCTGAGTTCAGTTTGCAAAGAACAGATGGGTGTTTTGAGTTCAGTAAGGTCACTAAGAGATATGAGCATCCGTCTCTAATTACTGCTTCATAAACGAACAGATTACAAATCAAATTTAAATCCGAAAATAAAGGTTTTGGGATTATGAAAAATGTTAAACAGTGAAATGATATGACTTAGAATTAATAAATATTTGAGATTATGCACTAATTCTAGGCAACTAATCAAATAAGCTAATTTGTAAAATTGATCATGTAACTCTTTATACAGATGGTCAGATGTACAAGATGCTCTTTGGATCAGCTCAAATAATGCTGGAGAACGTGGTCATCAGGATTTACACAAACCTGTGGAGTTCATGCAGCTTGAGTTCAATACTGTTCAAACGTTTGAGGTCAGTATGATTTTTAAGTGTTTTTGAAAGTAGTCACTTATACTCACTAAGGCTACATTTACTTGATCAAAAACACAGTAAAAAAAAACAGTAATATTGTGAAATATTATTGCAATTCAAAAATTTTATTTTATTTTTTTTTAATGCAAAAAGAAAAATAGAAGCATTTGGACTCTGTAATGGTGTTGAATACTCCAAAAAGGAATGCATAAACATTCCTGAGTAATTATTAGAAGTCAACTTTCTCTTTAGCTGCAATTTGAAAAGCAATGCTGTCTTTGTGTTTTAAACCACCTGTTGGCAACAGGATATGTCATGCTTCACACTAACTCAAACATACCATGTTCAATCTGCACCAAACTTCACATTTTTGATAAAAGTCCTGGCCTGAAGACATCTACATGCCAATATTCAGTTATAGTCATAGCGCCACCAGGTGGCAGCAGGAAGTCTGGCACATGTATAAATGACTTTGACATGTTCTTCCTATATTTACCACTTTAAAAGCATATTGCCCACCATTCGCTGTTTTCCTAAAGCCATCGGGTGGTGGTGAGCCCGCGTGCGAGGGCCCTTTCATCGCTGCTTGCAGCTTTAATTTTATTTATAAACGTATTTTTGAGAGTTTAGGGAAACATCTAACTGTATCTGTATCCATCAGACTGACTCCAGGGTGTTTCCATAACAGCAATCAGCTCCTCCTAATTAGTAGAATTCCCATTCACCCCCGAGTTTTCTCAAAGGAGAACTCTGTAGCGATAGAGGTTGTTTTGGTTTGAGAACATAACACTATTTTGCTTACTTTGAACATTCAGAGTTTACCTTACAGTCTAGTTGCTGCTGCAACACCTATGCTACCCATTATCCACTGTGAAATTTGGCTTAATTTGGGGTTTCCCAATGCATTCCCTCACACGCGTTGAATAAAAGATGACAGACTTTGAGAGAAAAGCAGGTGGTGAGTGATTAAAGCATCTTAACCTGAAATATGATGGCATTATGCAATATTAATGTCTGGAGTGTTTGTCTTCAAGAGTTCAAACAAAACGCGGCACCTTTGAAAGTCTGCCTAACATTTTTCAGAGGCAACTATAAACATGCGAACAATAAACAAATGTGTCAATTTTCTCTGGGGCTCCTTGAGGCAGTCCCAGAGAAAAGCACTGTTTGAGGGCTTGATATTGTCTGAGCTGTGGCGTCATTGAGAGGATAGAGATAGAAGCACTAAATCTTCTGTCGGCCTGACCTGAGCATATTTGGTAGTCATAAATCAAATTTCTCATTCTAATGTTTGCACAAACAATTTTTTGACAAGCTTCTGTACAAGACAACACTCAGATAGAGAGATGAATCTGAAAACACTTCAATCAAAATGCACTAACACCATCACTCTTCAGCTGATTCCACAAATATCCACAGCTTTTTATCAAATGTGATTATCACTGGAGACCTTGAGAATCAGTCATGACTTAAAAGATAAAAACCGGGGTCTAAAGAGAACAGAGAATGGTGTAGTTTGCCTTGCAAATATTCTCCCCTGAAACTATAGCAGATGTAATTTGCAAGCAAAATTCATTTTCCTTTTTGATTGCAGAGTATTATCTCCAGATTTGTTCAAGGCAAGATGTATTATGCAGTAGACCCCTGAACTGAAAAAAAAAAATCAATATTCTAAATTATATTTCCCCTGTGAAGGCTTTGTCACCGCAAAGAAAACATCAACAATAAAGCATGCCATTAAAATGATTTTTAGTAAAGGAACACATTAAGTTATCAATGTTTACTCTCTTACCGTTTAAGTATGTTAACAGTGGACACACAAGTTTCACATTAGAATTGTCTTTTTTGTTTTTCTCATATTATGTATTGTGTTTAACAGCATTCTGTGAAGGAAATGTCATTTTTCCTAAATATTTCCACACTTTTGTAACTATAGTGATTAGAAATTATGCACTGAAAATAATCTATTCACAAGTGATATTTCCTTTGTCTTTGAAGTTAAAACCTCATTTATAATTGATTTTCAAACTTTAAGATTAAAGGTCTTGGCCTGGGACAAGAATTATAGTATAAATTATACATAAAAGGTATTTGAAAAGCATGAAAAAGGTTGCCCCAGTTTAAATGTGAACAATGTTGAAATCTGTATAATTGAACCCCTGCCACATAAAAGTGGCTGCTGGAGAAATACCCTCACCCTCTACTAAAGAGTGACATTGCAGCAGTCTTTTTTTTACACACTTTTTATTCATAGAACAGTGGAAAGAAGAAAAGGACTGACGGAGAAGGGGAAAGGATCAAGAAATGTCCACATGTCCTAACAGACCACAACTCTAATACAATTTTTTATCACACTGTGATGATCACAGCTTGCCATACTTAAAGTGCATAACCTGTATTGGCCTGGAGAATGTGAACATTCACTCAAACATGCATACATCAGCTAATGTACCACATATGTAGCATGCATCAGATAATAAAGCAGGGATGCTCCAAGGCGGACATAAGAGATCCGTCATTTGTAAGTTTCTGTGTGTGCTGTCGGACAAGCCTGAATGGCACTCTAATGACAGTCATTACTCACCTCTCTCAGATGCTGGGGCCAGATCAATAAAACTCCTGCATTTCTCACCTGGAAAGACACAAGACGACTGAAGAGTTAACATCTGTGCTCTACAAGCTCTTTTTGTGTACTGAGATTCAGGGGGCTCAGCTTCATCTTTACAGTGCTGTTTTCCAGTGATAAGACAGCTTTAGCAGTCTGCTTCCCCTTGGATCAATCCATCACTTCAGTTTTTGTCTAAAGACAGGGCTCTACACTTACTTTTCTTTTTAGGAGCATTTGTGCTCCCAATTAAAAAATAAAAAATAGGAGCACCTTCTGATTAATATTACGAGGTGATATTTGACTTCTCAAAGTGACTTACAGGGGCTTTTTTTTACCTTTGTAATGGCATTTTTTATAACTTTATTAAAAGTGACATCTTTTGTGTCAAATAAAAAATATATAAGCTTTTCCAAAATTTCTAATTAAAACAATAGAATAGGAAGAATAGGTTACCTCTCAAATAAAATCAGTTTTGACAAAATTAATTTGCTCTTCAGAGGTGGCAAAGAAGAACACAAAAGTGGCATGTAGGTACATTTATAGACGTTTAATGAGGCTCAGAGGTGGCATGAGTGCAATTAAATTCATAAATTCATGTTGAGATTAATGTTTTAAATATAAAAATGTGAATATGAAAATATTAAATTATTTACTTTAATAATATAAATATTATTTCTATTTAATAATAGAAATATTAAATGATACTTTAAAAATGAAATTAAAACTGCCAGTAGGTGGCATCAAGTCATTTTATCACTGAATCATTCATTCAATTGATTCGTTCGAACGGCTGATTCATTCACGAACGAAGCAAGTGACTTGATGCGTCCCAATGTGCCTACTTATACTATGCCCTTAAAGTATGTACTCTTTTGGTGATGAAAAGGTACACACTTTTGAATGTGAGGAAGAAGAGTAGGCCAGCTTTGGGACATACTATCACGTCATACAATTGCATCTTTAATGGACCGCTCTGTCGCATAGTAACATCATCTGCAATTAAATATAACACAGATAATATTAAATAAATATTTTAACCAGGTTAACTGTTGATTAACTCAAACCCCTTTATCTAAACCTCTCTACTTACCTCTCATGCGTGCACATTCGCCATATTTGCAGTTTGTTTTTAGCGCTTTTTATTATTTGTGTTATTAGATCTGAACCGAATTATTCACCAAAGCGCAATAGATTGAGGGCAATATTATCCATTAAAGTGTGCACGGATCCACACTTTTTAGGGTGGATAGTATGAACATTAGAATGCAGGGCAAATCTTTATGAATGGGTAATTGAATAATTTACTTACTAGATTTGTTTAAAAACGCACGTTCATTCATAAACGAAACATGTGTTTGTTTGGAGATGCGCAACTGCTCAGCTGTGACTTTGACGAACTGTGTTCGTTGACAAACTAGACTAGAGCAAAATCAGGCAATAGTGTTGTAGTCAGACAAAGTCAATTAATATTAACTTCTTGTTTATTGAACTGTTGTATTAAATCAATA